GGCCCCGGTCTGACTTGTGAAACAGTTGGCCCGGTGGATGGGTCCAGGCGGGAGCCTGATCATCCACTCACCGGAGAGCTCGGCCCACTCACTGCCCCGTGGCTTCTGGGGGAGGTAGCAAGGAGGGCAACACCCCTGCTTCTCGCTGCCCAATCTGATGAGCAGGGCCTTCATAATCCAGGGTCCCCCAAGCCCCTGATGCCTGTCAGTTTCTCTAACAGAGATGCATGATGGGAGATGGGGGAGGGAAGGATGGCAAGACAAGGGCAGGCCCAAACCAAGCGGGCGGCCTCCCAGGGAGCTGAAATTGACGGGGTGAAACCTCCGGGGGGAGGGATCAAGGCTGCTCCCTGCTGGACCCCTCCCACGCCTCCCTAGGATGCTAGGAGCAGCTCGCCCCAACGCCGGCCTCCCTGGAGTCTTGCTGTGGCCTAGCAGCCACCCAGAGCGGGCAGCTGTTTCCCTCATGAAAGACCAGCTCCTCAGTGGCCGACTGGCGAGTCTGCTCTTCCCCAAGTCACAGAGGGCCCTCCTGCTCTGCCCAGCGCTCTCAGGTGAGCTGGGAAGCCAGGAAGAGCTACGAAGAAAGCGCAGCGTTGGCCTTGGCCTGCGTGGTCTCCTCCATCCTCACCATGTGCCCGCTGCTGCACCCCCAGCACCCCACATGGCCAGAATTTGTTCAGAAATCAGTGGACTGTCCAAGAGTAGATGCTTCAAACATTCCATGGACACCAGTTTCCAAAAGGATGAACTACTTAGAGATAAATTGAACAAAAGGAACGCAAAACCTACACTCTGAAAACTGCACAGCATTGCAAGAAATTCAAGATCTAAACGGCAGGAAAGCATCCAGGGTCCGTGGCTCCAGGGGTTTAGCGTGATTAAGAGGACAGCACTGCCCTAATGCATCCATAGGCTGAACCCGCCCTTAACTCTGGTGACCTCTTTGTAAGATTGACAAACCGATCCCAGAATTCAGACAGAATGCGTTGCAAGGGACCCAGGTCAACCTAAACTGCCCAGAAAAGAACAAGCTTGGAGGACTCACTCTTTCTTTTTTTTTTTCATTTATTTATTTATTTATTTATTTTTTTGACAGGCAGAGTAGACAGTGAGAGAGAGAGACAGAGAGAAAGGTCTTCCTTTGCCGTTGGTTCACCCTCCAATGGCCGCTGTGGCCGGCGCGCTGCGGCCGGCGCACCGCACTGATCCGAAGGCAGGAGCCAGGTGCTTCTCCTGGTCTCCCACGGGGTGCAGGGCCCAAGCACTTGGGCCATCCTCCACTGCCCTCCCGGGCCACAGCAGAGAGCTGGCCTGGAAGAGGGGGAACCAGGACAGAATCCGATGCCCCGACCGGGACTAGAACCCGGGGTGCCGGTGCCGCAGGTGGAGGATTAGCCTATTGAGCTGCGACGCCGGCCTCACTCTTTCCAATTTCAAAACTCACGACTCAAGATGGGGCTTTCTGACACGGGATAGTCAACGCACTCGATCAAGTTGAGAGTTCAGAAACCCAAACCTCCACAGTCAAGGATGCCAAGACCATCCGATAGGGAAAGAATCATTTTTTTTTTTTATCAGATGGGGCTGTAACAACTGGATTCCCACACAGAAAAGAGTGAAACTTGGTGCCGGAGCTGTGGCACAGCGGGTTAAAGCCCCAGCCTGCAGTGCCAACATCCCATGTGGGCACCAGTTTGAGGCCTGGTTCAAGTCCAATCCAGCTCTCTGCTGTGGCTTGGTAAAGCAGTGGAAGATGGTCCAAGTCCTGGGGGCCCTGCACCCTTGTGGGAGACCAGGAAGAAGCTCCCAGTTCCTGGCTTTGGATCAGCTCAGCTCTGGCTATTGTGGCCATTTGGGGAGTGAACCAGCAGATGGAAGACCTCTCTCTCTCTCTCTCTCTGGCTCTACCTTTCTCTGTCTTTCAAATAAATACTCTTTCAAATAAATTAAATCTAAAAAAAAAAAGTGAAGCTGGACCCCTACCTCTCACCCCACAAACAAATTAATTCAAGGAGCCAGCATTGTGGTATAGCTGGTTAAGCCGCTGCCTGTGACACCAGCCTCCCATATGGGCATTGGTTGATGTCCCAGTTGCTCCACTTCTGATCCAGCTCCCTGTTAATGGCCTGAGAAGATGGTCCAAGGGCTTGGGCCCTGGCCAACAAGGTGGAAGACCCAGATGAAGCTCCTGGCCCCTGGCTTTGGCTGGGCCTAGCCTCTGCTTTTGTGACCATCTGGGGAGTGAACCAGCAGATAGAAAATCTCTTCTCTCTGTAACTCTGACTTTCAAATAAATCTTTTTAAAAGTTAACTCTAAGTGGATTCACTGGGAACAGGAGCTTAGCCTAGCAGTAAAGCACCCATGTGCCACATTGGAGTGCCTGGGTTCAAATCCCAGCTTTTGCTCCTGACACCGGCTTCCTATCCTATGTGGTCCCAGGAGCCCACAGCAATGGCTCAAGTAAGTAATTGAGTTCCTGCCACCCACATGGGAGACCTGAAGTGCACTGCTGGCTCCTGGTTCTGCCCCCCACCAGCCCCAGGCACTGAGGCAGTTTTGGGTGGTGAATCAGTGGGTCCGAGCTCTCTCTGCCTCTCTCTGTCTCTGTGCCTTCCAAATAGAATTTTTTTTTTTAATTTTCAATGGATTAAAGACCTAAATGTAAGAGTTGAAACTATAAAACTCATTTTTTAAGATTTATTTATTTATTTGAAAGTCAGAGTTACACAGTTACAACAGAGAGAGGAGGAGAGGCAGAGAGAGAGAGAGAGAGAGAGGTCTTCCATCCGCTGGTTCACTCCCCAGTTGGCTGCATCAGCTGGAGCTGAGCCGATCAGAAGCCAGGAGCCAGGAGCTTCTTCCGGGTCTCCCACATGGGTGCAGGGGCCCAAGGGCTTAGGCCATCTTCCACTGCTTTCCCAGGACATAGCAGAGAGCTGGATCGGAAGTGGAGCAGCTGGGACTCAAACCAGTGCCCATGTGGGATGCCGGCACTGCAGGCGGCGGCTTTACCGGATACCCCACAGTGCCAGCAGCAGAAAAAATGAAACTCTTAAACACAGGGGCAATGCTGTCATGACTGTGGATTTGACAAATGATTCTTACATTTGATGCCAAAATCATGAGCACCAGAAGGAAAAACAGATACATCAGACGTCACCAGAACTGCAGGCATGGGGGCCAGCGCTGTGGCGCAGCTTGCACTGCCAACATCCTGTGTCCCAGAACCCGAGTTCCAGTCCTGGCTGCGACTCTTACGATCCAGCTCCCTGCTAATGCTCCTGGAAAAGCAGTGGAGGATGGCCCAAGTTCTTCGGTCCCTGCCACTTACATGGGAGACCTGGATGGAGTTCCTGGCTCCTGGCTGCCGGCTGGTCCAGCCTGGGGCCACTGTGGCCATTTGAGGAGTGAACCAGTGGATGGAAGACCTCTCTCTATATCTCTCCCTCTCTCTCATAACTCTGACATTCAAAATCAATAAATAAAACTTTAAAAAGCATACAGACTTTGTGCTTAAAAGGACACCATTCATAAAGTGAAAAATTGGGGGGGGGGGTGTTGTTCAGTAGCAGTTAAGGCCACTGTTTGGGATGCCCATATCCAATACTGGAGTGCCTGGTCCATGTCCAAGCTCCTCCCCTTCCAACTTCCTGCCAGTGTGCACCCTGGGAGGCAGCAGGTGATGGCTCAAGTACCTGGGTCCCTGCCACCCACGTGGGAGACTTGGATTGAGTTCTGGGCTCCTGGCTTTGGCCTGGCCCAGCCCTGGCTGTTACAGGCATTTGCAGAGTGAACAACAGATGTAAGATCTGTGTGTGCGTGTGTGTGTGTGTGTGTGTGTGTATGCCTTTCAAAAAAGATGAAAGTAAGTAATTTTTTAGATAAGATGGGGCTGCCACTGTGCTGTGTCTGCAGTGCCGGCATCCCATGTGGGCACCGGTTCTAGTCCAGGCTGCTCCACTTCCAATCCAACTCCCTGCTAATGCACCTGGGAAAGCAGAGGAAGATGGTCCAGGTGCTCCTGGCTCCTGGCTTCAGATCAAGCCCAGCTCTGGCCATTTTGGCCATTTGGGGAGTGAACCAGCAGATGAAAGTATCTCTCTCTGTCTCTCCCTCTCTCTGTCTATAACTCTGCCTCTCAAATAAATCAATAAATCTTAAAAAAAAAGAACATTTATTTTTTAAAAATGGAAAATTCAGCCCACAGAAAAGGAGAAATGATTTGCAAATCATATATCTGAGAAGGGACTTACATGCAGACCATAAAGGAACTCAATAATAAAAAGACAAACAAGTCGGTTCTAATCTGGGCAAAGGAGATGAGTTCACGTCTCTCCAAGGAAGATACTGAGATGGCCAAGGAGCCCGTGAAACAACGCTCTGTGCCGTGAGTCATCAGGAAATGCCAATCAAAGCGACAGTGAGTTACTACTTCAAGCCCACCAGACAGCCAGATTCAAAAGGCCAGATAACAGCAAGTGTTGGCAAGGACGTGGAGAAACCCGAACGTCACGTGCTGCTGGCGCGGTCACGTCGGAAAACAGTCTGGCAGTTCTTCCAGAGGTTAAACCTGACCGCTGCACTCCCAGGTATGTCCCCAAGAGACATGGACACATGCACGCACACAGGAGCTCGGGAGGAACGTTTGCAGCAGCGCTGCTGGTAACAGACAGAGGCAGAGAGCGCCCAAACGCCCAGCCGCTGACTAATGGGGCTTCCCACTGCCACACGTCCTCACGATGGCACATGTGCTCAGCCTGGCACAAACGGTGACCCGTGGTGACAATGATGCGTCAGCGTCGCCCACTGCGACAAGGGTCCCGCACTCAGGTGGGGTGTGGGTGGCCGGAGAGGCCGCAGGGGAAGAAGGCGAGGAACGTGTGGGAAGCCTGCACCTTCCCCTCAATCTCGCTGTGAACCCAAAACTGCTCTACAAAAGGACAGTTTACCAAGTGTGCTGGGGAAGAGAGGAAGGGAGGAATGGAGGTGATGCACTCTACAGGGTGACTTAGGTGGGATCTCGTTCGGCTGATGGCTTGCCGCTGAGACTGGCAAATCCGATTTTCTAGGAATGGCGTCTCGGGTGGGAACAGACGCGGGGTGCAGCACTGGTCTCGTTTGCTTCAGCTCCATGCCTTGGAGCCCAGGGTGTGACTTGAGGGGAGCTAAGCTGGGTTTCTGCTGAGCTCCAGGCTGAAGTCGGTGGCCTGAGGAAGGCACAGGTGCAGACAGATGGACTCCCAAGTCTTGCAGGTGTCAGAAAGGGAATCTTCAAATCCTTAGGCACTCAAACTTGAAATTAACATACTCATCCTGATCACGCTGCTTTTATTTTTTAAAAAAAAATTTATACACTCTACAACATGGATGAATTTTTTTTTAAGATTTATTTATTTGAAAGTTGGAGTTACAGAAAGAGAGAGAGACAGACAGAGAGAGAGAGAGAGAGAGAGATCCTCCATCTGCTGGTTCACTCCCCAAATGGCCACAACAGTGAAGGCTGGACCAGGCCGAAATCAGGATCCAAGAGCTTCCTTTGAGTCTCCTATGTGGGTGCAGGGGCCCAAACACTTGGGCCATCTTCTGCTGGTTTTCCCAGGCCATTAGTAGGGAGCTGGATTGGAAGTGGGGCAGCTGGGACTTGAACTGGCACTCATATGGGATGCCGACATTGCAGATTTCTACCCACAATGCCGGTCCCAACATGGATGAACTTTAAAAACACAATGTGAAGTGAAAGGCGTAAGCTGCCTTATGCCTATTATGATTCCATTTGCAGGAATTATCTGGAATAAGGGAATCTATACATGGCCGTGGGATGGTGTGGAGGAGGCAGACTTCCCTTGGGGTGACAACAACATACAGATGCTGACAGTGGTGACAGCCGCTTGTATCTGTGGCTATGTTTTATGGCCGGTGCCACGGCTCAATAGGCTAATCCTCCACCTGCAGCGCCGGCACCCCGGGTTCTAGTCCTGGTCGGGGCGCCGGATTCTGTCCCGGTTGCTCCTCTTCCAGTCCAGCTCTCTGCTGTGGCCCAGGAACGCAGTGGAGGATGGCCCAAGTGCTTGGGCCCTGCACCCACATGGGAGACCAGGAGAAGCCCCCTGGCTCTTGGCTTCAGATCAGCGCAGCACGCTGGCCGTAGTAGCTATTTGGGGAGTGAACTAATGGAAGGAAGACCTTTCTCTCTGTCTCTCTCTCCCACTGTCTAACTATGCCTGTAAAAAAAAAAAAAAAAAAAAAAACACACATTGAACTGGGGCCGGCATCATGGTTCACTTGGTTAATCCTCTGCCTGTGGCACTGGCATCCCATATGGGTACCAGGTTCTAGTCTTGGCTGCTCCTCTTCCAGGCCAGCTCTCTGCTGTGGCCCAGGAAGGCAGTGGAGGATGGCCCAAGTGCTTGGGCCCCTGCACCCTGCATGGGAGACCAGGAGGAAGCACCTGGCTCCTGGCTTTAGATCTGCGCAGCGCTGGCCGTGGCGGCCATTTGGGGAGTGAACTAATGGAAGGAAGACCTTTGTCTGTCTCTCTCACTGTCTAACTCTATCTGTCAAATAAATAAAATTAAATTAAAACAAAAAAACATTGAACTGCAAACTAAGTGGGCACATTGCACACTTTGAGATGTGAACCACATCTCAAAGCTGTTAAGAGGCAGACATTAAATGCCAACCAACCTGATTGGATCTTCACACATGGAATTCACATGTTATCAGACTGTGGAATGTAAAATAATTTAAATATACTGTTTGAACAATTGAAAATAAATATAGATTGTGAATTTGAGAGTTGTGTCAATATCTACATTTTTTGATTTTGATAATTACAAAAGTACTAATGGGTGACCCTGTAAGATAGACATTATTATTTTCCCATTTTATAAATGCAGAAACTGAGTCTGGGAGAAGCCAAGCTCAGGGTCACACAGCAGTCTAGGTGCCCATAATCTGCATCTCCATATTGTCCCTGGAGCTCTCCTCTCTTCCTTTATAGCACTTAGAATAATTTGAATTTTATATGTTCTTGTTCCACAATGAGCTCCTCGAGGGCGAACTCAGGTCTTCTCGTCATTACTTCTCTTTTTTTGTTTGTTTTTAAGATTATTTATCTGGGAACCCACGGCTGTGGTGCTGTGGCATAGCAGGTAAAGCTGCCACCTACAGTGCCAGCATCCCATATGGGTGCCGGTTCCAGTCCGGGCTGCTCCACTTCCAATCCAGCTCCCTGCTAATGCACCTGGGAATGCAGTAGAAGATGGCCCAAGTCCTTGGACTCCTGCACCCACGTGGGAGACCTGTAAGAAGCTCCTGGCTCCAAGCTTCAGTCTGGCCCAGCCCTGGCCGCTGTGGCCATTTGGGAAGTGAAACAGCAGATGGAAGACCTCTCTCACTCTTTCTTTCTCTCTCTCTTTGCTTCTGCCTCTCCTTTGCATAACTCTTTCAAATAAATAAACCTTTGGGGGAAAAAAAGGATTATTTGAAAGGCTAAGTTATAGAGAGAGGGAGAGTCAGAGAGAGAAAGAGAGATCTTCCATCTGCTGGTTCACGCCCCAGATGGCCACAACAGCCAGGCCTGTGCCAAAGCCAGGAGCCTGGAACTCCACCTGGGTCTCTTACATGGATACAGGGACCCAAGCACTTGGGCCATCTTCTGCTGCTTTCCTGGGTGCCTTAGCAGGGAGCTGGCTCAGAAGTGGAGCAGCCAAGTCTTGAACTGGTGCTCATATGGGATATCAGTGTCATAGGCAGCAGCTTGACCCACCGCACCACAGTTCTGGCCCCTTATCATCACTTCTTCATTTGAATGCATTTAAACAAACAGGAGTCGCTGCTGTGGCAGGGCCCGATAAACTGGCACTTGCAACGCTGGCATCCCATATGGGTGCAGTTAGAGTCCCAGTTGCTCCACTTGCAATCCAGCTCTCTGCTAATTTGCCTGGGAAGGCAGCAGAAGATGGCCCAAGTGGCAGACCTGGAAGGAATCTCTCTCTTCTGGCTTCAGTCTGGTCCAGCTCCAGCTGTTGTGGGCAACTGGGAAGTGAATCAGCAAGTGAGATATTTCTCCTCTCTGTCTCACTGTGTCACTCTGCCTTGCAAATAAATAAATAAAAATCTTTTTTAAAAATAAATACATATTGAGCCAGGCCTGTTTGCCAAAGAATCTGAGGATAGGTAGTACAGAATTGGCTCCTAGGGGTTGCTCAGGTCATGGATGGATGGATGGATGGATGTTGAGGGTGGATGGTGGATGGTGGAGGGTGGGTGGATGGTGGAGGGTGGGTGGATGTGAGGGTGGATGGTGGATGGTGGATGGATGTGAAGATGGACGGTGGATGGTGGAGGGTGGGTGGATGTGAGGGTGGGTGGATGGATGTGAGGGTGGATGATGGATGGTGGGTGGAATCTGGATGCATGGAGGGGAGTTCTGCACTAAGGCTGGCCGGACCTGCCCAGCGCCACCATACCAGACTTCACCCTCCCCCCCAGCTATGTCCCCTGCCTGTCCCCTAGCTAGACCCCTTCAGCCCCATCACCCCCTAAGACGCACCTCCCTCTACATTCCCACTCTCTTCCTCTCTCAGGGCTGGCAGAATCATCTTTCAAGACCCTACCAGGCCCCCTCTCCCAGGAAGCCTTCCTAGCCTGTGTGGTCTGCTGCTTTCCTGCACTCCTCTTAATGTGCAGTCCTGATGGACATCCCATTCCCGACAGACACCGCGGAGACGCAGAAGGGAAGGCAGGAGCTCCAGCTCCTCTTCTGTCCCAGGGGCCGGTCTGCAGCGCGCAAGGGAGAAAGCCACCGCGTGGGCCACGTGGGTTGCAGTCACGGCCTCGCTCTCCCTTGACAGCAAGGGAGGCCTGGCAGGAGAGAGGCCTCGGCCATGCCAGTCCCACAGGGACTGCCAGGACCCACCCTGGGGGAGGCCGGACCGAAGCCTGACCCTCGGGCCAGGCCGGGGGCAGGGCAGGGGAGGACGCAGGTGGGCGGGCGTGATGCGGTGCCGCCCTCCCCTCCCAGGCCCGGCCAGCAGCCCCCAGGCAGGCTGGAGGCCTGTTTGCCTTGGCCGCTGGCCAGGGCCGCCCCGCCAGTGAGTAATGTGTGCGGACCGCCTGGCTCCAGTTCAAGGGAAGCGGCTGGAGGAGGCCTCCTCGCCCAGGCTGCGCAGGGCCCGGTTCCGGGGGTGGTGGCTTCCCAGAAAGCGCCAGCCAGGCTGCCTCGGGGCCACGGGCTGCTGCTGCCCCCCCTTCCCCGTCCCCCCTGTCCCCTGCGCCTCCTCCCCTTCCTCCTCCTCCTCCTCCGGGACCCAGGATCGGCAGCTCTGGAGTTCCCAGGAAAAGATCTGCCAGCGTGGCCCAGGACCCAAGGAGAAGGAAGGTTCCAGAGCCCCCGCCACCACCCTGTCTTCCACACAGCACTGTTCTGCAGCCCACGCGTTCTGGGTGCCCAGCTCTGAGACAGGGCCTGCAGGCTTCGGGGCTCTGGCCAGTGGCACAAGTGCTGGGAGGGGCTCCCAGCTCCCCTGCCCACGACCCAGGGCTCCTGGTGAGGTCACCGTGGCCCAGAGAACGGGGGCGGCTTGTCTAAGCCGCACGGTGACTTCACTGCGGCCCGGTGACAGCCGGGGCTGCCTGTCCCCTGATGTTCAGACAGCAGGCCCCTTTTTGAAAACTACACGATGGAGAGACGCCCAGGGCCTCCCAAAACTTCACCTGCTGAGTGGTCTCTGCCTACTGAGCCCTTGGCTGCCGCCCCCCGCCCCAGGTCACAGGGGACCCCATGGTCATCAACACCATTGGAAGGCACAGAGCATTCCGAGCCCTCCTGTCCCCGTGGGCACGGCTTTGCCACTCTCTGCCCCCACGCTGCCCCTCCGAGTCTCTGTCTAGGGGTCTGTCCTTCTTGTTGCCAACAACAGAGAATTATTCTGGCTGAGTTAAGCATAAAAGGATAGTCATGAGGGAGTCCTGGATGGGCCACAGAATCAACAGCAGGCCGGGGAACTGCTCCACGGCGAGCGTGGCTGCCAAAACCACACCCCCGCCCTGGGCCCCTGAGAAC